TAACAGATACGGGAATTTGTAGAAATAGACCTGTAATTCTGAATTTTCCCATACTGTAAATTTTAATTACAGATGAAGAGCCAGTGAGATCACACTTTTCATTGCACAAATGAAGACAGTGATTAACTGCGCTATAGTTAGGTCTTCAGTGCAGCAGATATCAAGATGGGACAGACAAAGTGGGCTGGTCTGAACCTTTTGGGACACTTATCAACCAACCTGGTCTTTTTAGTTTGGCAGCCATACTGTGAGCAGTTCCAAGCCCGAATATCTGTGGCTTCTCAAGCCCTAGTGGGAAGCAGCTCCACAGCAGATGAATCTAGTGAGAAGAAAGGAGATACCCCTCCATAAAGTTGGGCAAACTAAAGGATAGGGTGAAAAAAAAATGAACTTCTAACCATCGCTACTCTTCCTGTTAAAGAAATGCTAAAAGAAGAGAATCATACTGCAGAAGCAGAGACAGCATTAGGAAAACGGAAGGCTGTTCCTTCTTGAAAGCCTTCACATTGCAATGATTTCCATTGCCTTGATAAAATCAGACCTGGCTGGTAGTGCCGTATTTTTTGTGTGCTTTTGTAGTGATGATAAATTTTGTATGAAATGAAAGTAAATAGTTGTTTATACTTCATTTAACAGCAGCCAGTATGTCACTAAGTCAGCACTTTCTCCTCTGAGATTTGTAGAGCAGGATTTAGGCTAAATTGCTGGCGTATGAGATTTCAGCCAAAGGTTGTTTTCCTTTAACCATTTTGTTTTTCAAATGCCTTGGCTGATTTTAGGTTATTGGAGTCCAATATAATTACTTGTTTAATTGCTTGGAAGAAGTAGAGCTTCCGCAGTTCAGAAATGGCTTATTTTCTTTAAAAATAACTGGAATCTGGCTTGGGGTTCTCTAGAATGCAATACACTATACAATTGTGTAATTTTATCCTCTTAAAAATTCCCTGAATAGTCATTAAATCTTTGGAAACTAGCTAATCTCTAGGAGGATGCGATAGGTCTGGCTGTTTTCCAGGGTTTGCGAGAGGCTGTGACAGCTTAACATGGCAAGAAAAATCATTTCTAAATCACCGTGAGACTGGGTCAGAGACTCTCGCCTGCCGAAACCCAGTTGGTCTTCATAATGACTCCAGTCTTCTCCGATGTCCAGAATCAGCCTCTGCTTACAAGAGGTGACACAGAGCAGAAGAGAAGAGGAAAAATTGACAAGGAGTCTGGAAAGCTTGTGAATAAGGATGGGCCAGTTAGATATTGGTCAGTGCCACTTTTAGCTGTGCTATACCAACAGGTATCGGATGTGTTGAAGCACAACAGTGAGGACCTTTATGAGAGGTATAATGTGGTAGGTGGTGGTGTGGAGGAGAGTAAAACAACCAACAAGGCAACAGAACAGGCAGAACTGTAGCCTGGTTGTTGAGAAGCCGGGGATAAAGCTAAGATGCTCAGGAGGGTTGTATTTGTCCTACATACCCCTCAGTAGCTTAGCGCAGGGAGAAGTCACTTTCAGCCTGCTCTCCTCTCCAGAGGAGGACCAGGTATGTGATTGTGTGTGCTCATGTGCCTGTGCAGTCCATCAGTCTCTTCTTCTCTCTCTTCCCTCATAGCTTTTTCCATTTTTTATTCAGTGCCAAGCAAATCTGGCATGAAGGGAGGGGTCCCACGGACAATGAAGTTCCAGCAAGTTTCATGAAAATTTTGTGTTCTTATGCAGAAAAAGAGGACCAGAAATTACTCCCAGAAAGACTCCTAGCTGAAGGCAGTGTTGCAGCATGAGTCCTTACACACAGAAGCAACAAAGAATCAGCAGAAGGATGGGTAGGGGGCAAGGCAAGCCGTGAGAGGCCCAGCCACAGGGAAGCTTCTCTGGATATTGCACTTTACCCCAGAACACAGTTCACAGGGAACCAGGCGTTAGTTCCAGCACTCAGAAAGCTAGGAGCCGTGCCTCTGACTGCAACACACTTGTGCAAATTTCTGTTGCTTAGCCTTACCCCCACTCAGTGAAGCATTTTCTTTATTTTTTCTTTTTTTTTTAATTTCTGGGTGTTTGTTTGGGTTGGTTTTTTTTTTTTTTTTTTTGGGGGGGGGGGTGGCAGGATGGAGGAGCTGCTGTGCATCAGTGAGCTCAATTAACCACGACAGCCAAGGTACCAGCCAAACACACTGAATTGATGGGGTTTGCAAGGGAAATGTTTGACTCTACTCTTTAGGGCTACAGTTAATTTTGTATAGAATACAAGCATGATTTTACTAAATCTGGTCTTTGGCTTTTCTGGTGAAAATAGAGATTGCTTCTTCTCCACCTGGTATGGCAGAAACCTGCTTTCTAAGGATATGAAGAAAATATTTACGACAATAAAGACATTACTATGTTGGGAGGGAATCTGTTCTCTTGTTGGAGGCTGCTACAAGACATTCGTTGGGTTACATTGCCTTTTCTCCTCTGGAGATCTAAAAGATGACAGCGTGTTCCCGAACCTCTACAAACCACAGAAGTGACTGTTTCATGTGAGTGCTAAGCAGATAGCTGCAGAGCTTTAGGGTATTGTGAGTCTGCTGACGACAAGGTGCATCTTCTTTCACCCACACGCAGCCTGGTGAATGCAGCAGGCAAGGATTTGGGAATGATGGGAGAGGAAAAGATTCAAAGAGGCTGCAAAACACTTGTCTTTTCATATTGTTCTTCATCTGGTAGGATAGCGATTGTGCTGCTCCCTTCCCTCGCCTATGCCCATTCAGTTGCAGTTGTGTTTACCTCTGGGAGAAAAAGAGGTCATTGCCATTTGTAAACAGAGGAGCTGGACTGGCATCTGAAAGCTTGGAGTTGAGGATGCCATCCCGTCCATCCCACATCAGCCCCATTCCTCAGAGATTCCATATGGGCAGCGGGACTCCATCAGCAACTCAGATGAGCTCAAGAAAAGATCCCGAGAGTGTTGATCTGGATTTTATGTCTGGACAGCTTGATCCAATGGATCTTGAAAACAGAGTATTTTATGTGTTGAAAGGACAATTGTTTTGTACTTATACGAAGAGAAGAACATCAGTTGAGATTAGTTGTTCAGTTGTAAGAGAGAAGTTGTACTTTTAATATGTCATATTGTCTCTATTAAATCTGCCAAACAGCTGATTGCAAAAGCCCTCTTGGCTTATGTCAAACCAGTAGCAGTAGAAATCATACATGACTGTGTTAGTTCTGCTAGTTAACTTTTAAAAGATAAAGGAGACATAACAGGGAGTGGAGAAACAGTGTAGAGAATCGGGTTGGTTTAGCTTCTTATGGTTTGATTCAAATGGATTTATAATTGTCTGTGTGTCAGTTGTGCCTCGTGGGATTAGGCAAGAAGTCTGTATAGATGTGAAGTTTGAAAAGAAACATCTACACTGGGCCTTCCACAGTTGCCTGTATCTGTTTCAGAGGTCTGCAACACGGGTTGGGAAGGCTCAGACATCTTAGGGCAGATAGCCGTCATTTTGCTGACTTGATGAAAACCTGAGGTTTAGGGGGTGTGTCTCCACAAGGAGAACAGCTTTGTAGCTTTTGCAGAAATAAGAGGGCTCTGATCTTAAGCCACAGGTAAAATGCAGAAAATGGAGTCTTAATTTTTAATAAATGAAGACAATAGTACAAAAACAAGGTGTGATATTATAATACTTGAAGGCTTTAATGGTGGCATTGCCATAAAGAAAGTAATTAGGAAATGTGCTTTTCCAAAAGGAACAGAAAGCTGAGGTGAGAGGCACCCATTCCGAGAAGGGAAAAAGAAGCCAGTTAGAGCATCCCACACCAACACACAGCACAAACATAGCCACTTATTAACACAAGAGTGCTGTGTGATCTGTATGTGGTCACTGAGGTTGCTTAGCCAGGTTTCAACTCAGTTAACTGCAACCTGTCTAATAAAGTAGTAATAGCCAAATGGACTCTTTGAATTCTGACTGGGAATTTCTTAAAGCTAAATTTCAGAAATCTTACAAATACTGACTTTTGCTTGTTCTTGGGGGGGGCCACAAAGACTTGCTTCTCATATTCTTTTACCTTAATGAAGCCAATGGCTGGTCTTTGGTGCTCTGTCGAGGTAGATCACTGAAAACCTATCAGAGGCCAGGTGACCATTATGAATAGTTATCTACTGATTTCGTTCTGGTTTTAAGTTTTTTCATCTCTGGTGTTTATCTTGGTGATGTTGATCACATTTGTGAGGGTTGACTTGTCCTGCT